GTGCCTTAACCATCTGGCCATGTCGGCCAAATGTTTATTAGTGAAAAATAGGGTAATATATTGCTGTTAGTGGAAAAAAGGATGGATGTCAATGAATAATAGGTTTTAAGGAAAACCCCTTGGTGACTAATCGGTAGGATTTAATGAGTACCCTGTACATATATTATGTTGCTGTTAGTGGAAAAAAGGATGGATGTCAATGAATAATAGGTTTTAAGGAAAACCCCTTGGTGACTAATCGGTAGGATTTAATGAGTACCCTGTACATATATTATGTTGCTGTCAGTGGAAAAAAGGATGGATGTCAATGAATAATAGGTTTTAAGGAAAAACCCCTTGGTGACTAATCGGTAGGATTTAATGAGAACCCTGTACATATATGAGAACCCTGTACATATATTAATCTTTAGATATCAGAATGTACTAAACCATATGTGTTAATAATAAATCTGTAAAGTGTAACTTACAGGTATTAAAAAGGGCTCTATATGTGTTAATGAGGGGCCCTATAAGAACTAATTTATAGAACTTAGTGAGTGTATATATTAACTTACAATATCAGAAATAACATAGAAATCAATATGTGAACTCCATATAGGAGTCACAAACTATGAGTAATTGCAACTAAATGGTAAATTTTGCATAAGTGCAATACGTGATTAGAGAAAATATAAATGAAAAGCGAATTAATTGTACAAAACTAGTATTCCATATTTGTAGTTAGTGGGGGGCTTCATACAGAAGCACTGATGGGCTGAATCAGGTGATGTCATAGTTCCAGGAAGTGGTACAAGAAGAGGCGTTGCAAGGGGAGGGGGTGACGACATAGTTCCTGTCTGTCTCATGTTGTTACTGAGGTTGAGGCTTCTGTAGATGGACTATGCTACTAAGGTACTATAGGCGGATGGTGTTACTAAGGTCAGTGCTCATTATGCCTCAATACGTGATTATATCATCAACTTTATAATTTTCATTTCACTAACAATCAAAGCTTCAAGACTGATATTTCATCTAATTTGCATATTATACCTTTTACAATTATAATAATCTATCTTGCGTAGTCCTGAAAATAGTAAGATGACATTATAGTGTGACTTACCAGAGGGTGTGTTGCTAGGGGCGGATAGTGTGACTAAGGTGTTATAGGCGGAACAAGGACAGTGTAGGATTATGAGGTCAGCAAACTGCATACAGACCTCAACATGTCTCAATTTATGTTTACTTTATCACTTCTACATATAATTTGTTTGAGAAGTTTTTATCACATATACCATTTCTCAGAATGAAACAATTGTAGTTTAAAGTATTGTATATAAAAAGTTAGGATAGCATTTGTTGACAATAAAATGTTCTTAACAAAATATTTCAGGTTTGTTGTTCATATTATTCCTCACAATAACGATGTTGCAACCCGATCTACATATCCGTTAAGGACATTTAAGTTATTTATAGTTTTCACTTTTATATTTAATTTGTCGTATTTTTTACAATTATTTGATGTTTCAAATGTAAAATACATATTCATAGCATTATTTCATTGGTTTTTGCTTTTATAATTAATATAACATATAATTATCTGTCCTGAAAAGTGAAAATTACCACACTTACTGTTTAACTCTAGTTTTTATCAGTATGGTCAACTTTATAGTTTTCAGTTTTTATAACATTCGGGACAGAACGTTGAGTTCTTGGAATAATTTGAATTTCGTATTTAACTTTATAAGTTAACCTAAATATTTGTTTTGTTAAAGTTTATTTTTAAAGGATTATATATATCACTTTACGTAAATAGTTATGTTTAACCATCATAGCTGTAGAAATTAAAACTAATATTTTTACCTTTCTGTAAATATTTTCACAAATCTTTAGGCATATGCTGACATATTTATACTAAAACTTATTGCATATAGGTGTTCTATCCACTTTTATCTGAGGGTCATTAACATTGAATGCAAAATGATAGAAAGGTCAATATCTGCACTCTTCAAATGGTGTGAACTCTTCAGTCCTATTGGATATTTAGTCTGACTCATCATAGTTGATGACAAACCAACTTTTTACTAAGAGAAGAGGCTAATGGGATTCAAAGTTTAAGTTAGGAGAAAAGAAAATTTTAGAAATCAAAAGTTGAACAACTCAAATATATTACATAATATGTGTTGATGTTTATGATTGTACATTCATTAGTAAAATATGAATATCATACTATGTTTATATTAT